TCCTTCCCTCCCTCCTTCCTTCCCTCCCTCCTTCCTTCCTTCCTTCCCTCCCTCCTTCCTTCCTTTCTTCCTTCCCTCCTTCCTTCCTTCCTTCCCTCCTTCCTTCCTTCCCTCCCTCCTTCCTTCCTTCCCTCCTTCCTTCTTTCCTTCCTTCTCTCCCGCCCTCCTTCCTTCCCTCCCTCCCTCCTTCCTTCCCTCCCTCCCTCCTTCCTTCCTTCCTTCCCTCCCTCCCTCCCTCCTTCCTTCCTTCCCTCCTTCCTTCCTTCCGCTCCTTTTCCTTCCTCCCTTCTAGCCCTCTGTTTCCTATCTGGGTCAGGAGACGTCTCTGAGAAAAGAACCAAATATGGAGAGCACCCAGGACCTCACAATCTTCCCTTCTAGACATGATGACATTTCCTAGTTGGGACATAAAATGTCTTCAAGCAAACCACCCAGCTCAGCAGGTAGCCAGGACTCCACAGTCCGTCCTTCCTCCTCCTCCTCCTCCTCCTCCTCCTCCTCCTCCTCCTCCTCCCCTTCTAGCCCTGATGACATTCCCTCATTGAGTCATGAAACTTCTGCAAGAAATGCACCCCGCTCGGAGGGAACACCAAGGACCCCACCATTCATCTGTCGTCCCCCCAAAACCCAGCTCCCTCATGCGAGTCCACAGTCTTTGGGGGGGGGGAGAAAGAAAGAGTTGAGGAGGACAACCTGCCCCGAAGTGGAACGGACTCTGAGTTGCAACGGGGGACACGGTTAGAAGAAGATCCGCAAAGGACCCGGCGGGAGACTGTTCGTCCTGGGGGAAGATGTGTCCGTGGTGGGCTGAGGAGAACTTGACATCCATTGGACGTCCCATCAAGATCGGTGGTGGTTATGCTGCCGGTTCTCAGCGGTTCAAACAATCCCGTCGCGCCGCTCAGTTGTTGGCCCCGCCCACTCACCCCCGCCCTTTTGTCCTATATTTCCTTTGTTTGTACCTCAGTTGACAGGCGTGGCAGAGTGGATCACCGCGCCTCAGCTCTTTTCCTCAGCCGCGCTGACAGCAAGATAATTTTTCATGCTTAAAATTGCCCGTTTTAGAAGGCTCCATGCACGCGCCCACATAGTAAAATATTTTGAATTCCGCCACCGCTCAAGATCCCACAGAGGGGAGCTGAAAGACACACGCACACACACACATGCACACACCGCCTTCCATCTCACCGAGATCCTGCCATTCCTAAATCGGAATGGCTGATTTTTATCCCGGTGTCTATTTAGGAGAAAGTGGAGCCGGAAAAACGGAAGCCAGCAAGTACATCATGCAATATATTGCCGCCATCACCAATCCGAGCCAGCGGGCCGAAGTGGAAAGGTAAGTTTATCCCAGGCAGTCCTTTGCTTTATGACTAGTTCATTTTGTGACTGTCCGAAGTTACCAGCTACCAAGGAAAAAGGGACTTAGCATCATTTCTCACACTTATGACTGTTGTAGCATCCCACCCAGCCCCAGTCACATGGTTTACATTTGGATGTTCATATTTATGACGGGTGCAGAGTCCCGGGGTCAGGCAATCCCTTTTTGCAAACTTCTGATGGGTGAAATCCATGGGGAAGGCCCTGATTCACTTAAAAACGGTGAGTCACTAAACAATTGCAGGGATTCACTTAACAACAATGGCAAGAAAAGGCAAAATTCATTTTAACACTAAGTCTCACTTAGCAAGGGAAACTTTGGGCTCCATTGTTGTCGTAAGTTGAGGACTAGTTGGATAGAGGTGTTTTATATTTATTTATTTATATATATATATATAAAATCAATCTATCCATTTGTTTCACAATCTGGGCAACTTGTGTTGAATTCAACTCCCAGAATTCCCCAACCAGGAAGCTTTGTGGATTTCAATTCCCAGAATCCCCCAGCCAGCATGCTTTAAGAGGAGTGGAAGAATCCCGGAACTGGTATGCTTTAAGAGGGATAAATTTCAACTCCCAGAATCCTCCAACCCTCAAGCTTTAAGATGGGTGGACTTCAACTCCCAGAATTCCCCAGCTGCCATGTTTTAAGAGGAGTGGACTTCAACTCCCAGAATCCTCCAGTCAGGAAGCTTTATTGACTTCAACTCTCAGAATCCCCCGGGCTCTCTTTAAAGCTGCTAAGGTCACAAACTACCATTCCAGAACCGGGAATATGGGAAATAAAAGTAAATATCTGATCTGCCATCATTTTTAAATCTTCTTTCTAACAACCCTGCGAGGTAGGAGAGACAAAGAGGAAGTGGAATAGGCTGGTGGAGGGCTTCATTGAGGGGTCAGGGGGAGCCCTAAAATCCCCATGAAGCCCAGATGTAACTCCTGCCTGTCCCACCAAGCAATGGTGGGATGCTGCCGGTTTGGACCGGTTTCCGCGAACCGGTTGTTCCGACAATCAGCTGCTTTATTTCCTGCTTTGTAGCACATTTTAATTGTGCAGCACAGCTGATTCCCCCCGCTCGTTGTTGTTCTACTTACCGTTGCTGACTTGGAAAGTAAGGTAATTGTAAGTAGTACAATTGAGCGAGTCCACAAGAAGAGTAGTACGCTCCTCCGCTTGCAACAGAATACCCTACATCACCAGGCCTGAAATTTTGGGGCTTGGACAACCTAGAACTACACCTCCTACAGTTGGAGTTAAGCGTAGTACACAAAAATTATCTGCAACCACAAACAACACAAGAGCACACAACGGGTACAAACTCAATGTAAACTGCTCCAAACTGGATTGCAGAAAGTTCGACTTCCGCCACAGAGTGGTCAATGCCAGCACTCCCCCATTTCTTTAACCTTAAGCCAATGGTTTCCAACCGGTGGGCCACTGCCCAATGATGGTCCGTGAGAAAATTTCGATGGGCCGCAGCACACCCGTGTCTGCAATTGGGGTGATACCGGCAGCAGATGGACCGATGCGCATGAGGAGGGATGCACCTGGCAAGGGCTCTGATGCTGCGATCTCCCACGCACATAAGTCCACTTGCTGCCTGTATCACCCTGTTGCCCCGGCTCCACGTCAGCCATCTGGTCTTCAGCACGTGGCTCGTCGGCCTCCGGATGTCAGATTCTCACCACCCAGCACCAGTCCAGAGGTTCCTTTTCCCCCACCCCCAGGACAGAGAGGGGGGAGGGAGGGAGAGAGAAAGAGAGAGAGAAAGGGAAAAAAAGGAGGGAGAAAGGGGAAAAGAGAAGGAGAGAGAGAGAAAGGGAGAAAGAGAGAGGGAGGGAGGGAACGAGAAAAAGAGAAAGAAAGAGAGGGAAAGAGACAAGATACAGAGAGAGATTAGAGAGAAGGAGAAAAGAGAGAAGAGAAAGAGGGAAAGAGAGAGAAAAAAGACAGAAAGAGAGAGAGAAAAAGGGAGAAAGAGAGAGAAAAAGAAAAAAAGGCAGAGAGAGAGAGGTGAGAGGTGAGAGGTCCTGGATTTTTGTTTTCTATGGGAAACGGGTCCAAATGACTTTTTCAGTATTTAAGGTTGCAGAAACAGGCGGCCAAGCTAAGTGCCTGAAGGACCCCACCCCGTCAGTGGGAGTCCAGGCGCTTCAGCGAGAGGCATGCTAGATTCATATTAGTGGTCCGCGGGATTTAAAATTATGAGTTTGGTGGTCCCTGAGGTCCAAAAAGCCTTAAACTATCCACGATTGATCTCACCCCATTCCTAAGAGATCTTTGGGGGGGGTGCATAAGTGCACCATTGTGCCTACCGATCCTGTCCTATTGTCCCCCATTTATTTGTACCTCTTTTCTGTATTCTTACTCAGGTTTATACTTGTACCTATTACCTTGTAAGCAATTGACAAGTCAAATAAATCAAATAAATAAAGCAGGTGAGCTTCTAAAGGCTCCATTTAAGACAAGTAGATTTAAACATAGCTTCTACCCAAGTGCTGTGATCAGGTTAAATGCAGAGTTATGAATCTGGTGGTCTTAACGTATATATATCCTGGTTGTATAGTTTTTAACTGTAAATTGTTTTAATTTGTTTTACATTGTTATTTGTATATGTCTTTTGGTGTTGTTCAGTTGTATGTTGTGAAAGAGCACCTTATTTCGTTGTTCTCAGGTTCTAAGTACAATGACAATAAATTTATCTTAAATTTATCTTATCTTATTTCCAGTGCTTTGTACAATCTTAGTCACATGCCTTAGTCACATGTGCATTCACCAAATCAGGTAACATCTCACCACTGCCCCCCAAGTCATTTTTTTTTTTTTTTGGTGTTCCTTGGACTTTCTACAGGGTGAAAAATGTTCTCCTCAAATCCAACGGTGTCCTGGAGGCCTTCGGCAACGCCAAGACCAACCGCAACGACAATTCCAGCCGCTTTGGAAAATACATGGACATCAATTTTGACTTCAAGGGAGATCCCACCGGGGGACACATCAGCAACTACCTGTTGGAAAAGGTACAGTCAGTGTGTGTGTGTGAGAGAGAGAGAGAGGGAGGGGGAGAGAGAGAGAGAGGGAGAGAGAGAGAGAGAGAGAGAGAGAGACCAGAATAACTCACCCCAAAATCCACATTGATGGAGGAGAAGTGGGGCATCTTGAAATAAGTGATTCCCGATGCTTTAAAAGGGGAGGACTTCAATTCCCAGAATGCTCCAGCCCCAGTGCTTGAAGAGGGATGGACTCAGGAATGGGCTGCTACCGGTTCTCCCCAGTTTGGGCGAACCGATAGGTAATTTTATCATTTTTAATTACCAGTTTGGCGAACTGGTAAATCCCACCCTGGCTGGCCCCACCCATCCTGCCCCTCCCCTCCCAGGAGCCCCCACCCAGCCCATTTTGGATGCCAGGTAAGTGCGGAGCCCTCACGGAGGCTCGGGAAGGGTGAAAATTCCCCCCCCCCTGGGAAGTTGTGGAAGGCTGGATGCTTTAAGAGGGGGTGGACTTCAATTCCCAGAATCCCCCAACCGGCATCATTTAATTGGAGTGGACTTCAACATGAGACCCTCAGAAGGTGGGATCTGGGCTCTGTAGCTGCCATAGATGATGTGTTTGGCTTTGGGTACCAAAGTGTGTCTCCGAGCAAGTCCTCCAGATCTTCTTCTCCTTCTCTTGCAGTCACGAGTCCTCAAACAGCAACCAGGCGAGAGGAATTTCCATGCCTTCTACCAGGTGAGTTGACTTCTACTCGAGGACCCGTAAAGGTCCTTCTTTCTGTCCATCAGTCGATCCAGAATCTTCTAGATCAGGTTCAGATCCTACCAGGATGACACCACTGCGGTCTTAAGTTGAGATGTCCAAGGACTTCCTCAGTTTGGAACATGGACTTACCCTCTTCGATGGAGTTGTCCTTCCCTGAAACTCTCACTCCTTGGGAACGTTGCGGTGTCCAGGCGAGATCTCATCACGTGTCCTCTAGAGCAGGGGTCCCCAACCACCGGTCCGGGGACCGGTACCGGTCCGCGGAACAACTCCTACCGGGCCGCGGCTTGCTGGGCGCCGCCATCTTTTTTTCATGAAAAAGTGCTTCTGGTGAGCTTTTCCGGGTAGAAAGCTCACCGGAAGCACGTTTTCATCAAAAGAAGATGGCGGCGCCCAGCTGATGCCGGTACCGGGCCGCGGCGTCAAAAAGGTTGGGGATCACTGCTCTAGAGGGAGATCATTCCAGGATCCTTCAATGTTTGCTAGATTTAAGGGGGTGATTGAGCTGGGGGGAAAAAACAAACCAAGAAAGACACATTGAACTTGTTCAGAAAAGTTTGCTTGACAGATAGTCCTCGACTTAACTATGACAATTGAGACCAAGATTCCCATCGCAGTCCGTTGTTAAGCGAGTTTTGTCACATTTTACGATCTCTCTGGGCCCTGTCATTAAGTTGAATGGCTGCAGCAGTTGAGTTTGTGACACGGTCGTTAAGTGAATCTGGCTTCTCCTTTGACTTTGCCGATCAGAAGGTCATAAAAGGGGATCACATGGCCCTGGGATGCTGCAAACTGTCATAAGTATGAGTCAATTACCAAGCAACTGAATGTTGATCCCACGACCATGGGGATGCTGCAAACATTGTAAGTTTGAAAAACTTTGAACGGTCACTAAATGAAGATTGTAAGCCGATATGTATTGAAGCTCACCTAAAGACAGAATCTTGCTGACTTGCAGCATAAAACGGCACCTGGGAACCATTGAGGAGGAACTGTCTTCGCCCTCATTCTCATACACAAAATCTCTAAAATGGATGGGGTTTTTTTTTTGCTCCTCTGGGATGCAGCCCCTCCCTCCCACCTGGGAATCTGGACCGTGTTCCATGTTTCCCATCTTCCTTAACTTACTTAACGGTTCGATCAACTAATTAATAGATATCTAAAAATAATTAATATACGATCTCCCCAGGGAAAATTATCTCCATGTTGAGCTTTTCGATCACTTAACAACTGGGTGATTCATTGAATGACTGTGAGGATTTGCTAAACAACAGTGGCCAAGGGAGAAGAAAAGGGCACGACCTCGGGCGCAAGTCCTTGAATGACGGTCTTGCTTAACAATGGTCCCAATGGTGATCGTAAGTTGAGACCAACCTGCATTATGGCATCTTCCAAAGGAAGCGGGATAGTTTAGTGTCAATTTTTTTCAACGTTGGCAACTTGAAGGCCAGTGAAATCTAGTCCTCCCTCATCCTAGAGAGTTCATTGGAGGACTAAAGACAAGACACAAATTCACCCAAGAAAGAGCCGTTGAGATAGGCTGCTTTTACAGGTACTCCTCAACTTATGACCACAACGGTTGCTAAGTGAGACATTAAGAGAGTTCTGTTCCATTTTACGACCTTCCTTGCCACATTGGTTAAGTGAAAATCCCTGCAGTTGTCAACTTAGCGACAGGGTTGTTAAGTGAATCCGGCTTCTTCATTGACCGGGCTTGTCACTGTCACATATGAACCCATTGCTGAGGGTCTGAATTTTGCTCGCATGACCACGGGGATGCTACGATGGTCATAAGTGTGAAAACAGTCCTAGGTCACTTTCCTCGGTGCTGTTGTAATGTCGAACGGTCACTAAATGAATCATAATTTGAGTTATTTTTTTTTCCAGTTGCTTCTTGGTGCCTCCGACGCTAAGCTGGACTCTCTCCACCTGGTTGGAGACCCAACGGCCTACAGGTTTACCAAGGAGGGTGGTAGTAGTAATGACAGGGTAAGTACCGCACCACGGAATCAGTGGCAAGTCCTTCTGGGGAGAAGAAGAAATAGAGAAACGTGGATTGTTCAGTAAACAAGAGAGGAAAGTAATCACAGAAAATTATGGATATTAGAAAATGTGACGAAGTAGCAGATGAATGTACAGGTAGACTTCTGACCACGATTGAGCCCCAAATACCTGTTGCTAAGCAAGACAGGTTGTTAAGTGAATTCTGCTCCATTTTATGACTTTCCCTGCCTCGGTTGTTAAGTGAATCGCCGCAGTTTGTTCAGTTAGTAGCCCGCTTGTGAAGTGAATCCAGCTTCCCCATGGGCTTTGCTTGTCAAAAGAATCATGCTGACATGGTGAATGTTGACGTTCACTTAATGACCCATGACTGTATGACCGTCATAAGTACGAGTCAGTTGCCATGCACCTGAATTTTGATCGTGTGGCCAATTCTTTTACGACCGTGTGATTTATGACTAGATGGGATTTTACCAGTTTGGACTGGTTCTACAGAAGTGGTTGTTACGATTCTGCGCAGTTCGGAGAACCGACAAATAGCGGCACTGGCTGGCCCCGCCTCTCCCCGCCCCGCCAACTCGCTTCTTACCTGCCATGTACATCGTCCAACTTGCCTGCCTTATGCCTTCGCCTAATTTTTGGTAAATTGCTAATTTTCCTCCCCCCCACAATCATCAGCTGTTCTGACTATTAGCTGTGCCAGGAGATTTAGATTAGCTAGAAAGCAGGAAATCATGGGATTTCTTGCTTTCTAGCTAATCTTTTGATCTTCGGCTCTGCTTTTAAGCACAGCCGAACCTCCCTTAGGACTGAAGGTTCTATTATTCAGTGCAGACTCAGGCAGCTGATGGCAGAAAGGTAGATCTCTGAGTGAATCTGTGATTCTGTGAGCAACTCAATCTGCCTGCCTGCCTGGCCTGATTTTGGGTATAAGTTGCTCTTTTTTTCATAAAAAA